CAGTCACAATTTGGTCCAACTTGCTTTTTTTAGATATAGGTACTTCAAGTAAAGTGAAGGGAATTCTCAAACTTTTTCGTTACGTACCTATTTATGCAACGACTTCTTACAATATCATGAATCCTTTGTCTTATGATGGAATGAGGGCTATCGTTTTTATACTTAACAGTTGGCACCCCTGGCGATTGACAGGACCTTACTCTACAGTGGCGCCATCTTGATGAGCGCAAATGCGATAGTCCTCCTACCACTTTAGCGCTCACCAGTTGGTGCCACTGTCTTCGCTACTAGCAAGTGACAGGACCTTACTCTACAGTGGCGCTAACTGGTGAGCGCTAAAACGATAGCCCTCAGTTGGTGACTTGATCGGGAAAATGTGCGAAATATTAATGTAGGTAAACATCTCTAGGTGGTGCAGGAGTACCGATCCAACGAAGTGGACCAGTCGACGCTGCGCGCGTCCGCGTCTACGGCCGACGAGACCTACCGCCACTCCACGTTTAAGCTGAACCTCGGCGACCCCCCGCAGTAGCCCCAGCCCTTACTGACTCGACGAAACCCCACAACTCGACTATTCGCGTATGTGACCGCTGACCATACTGCAAGACGTTGGACACAATGCAAAACCAAAGCAGCACACACCGGTTCGTAGTCACTGTTCTTTATTTGGAACGTGTCAAGGCCCGCACACATTCTTAAATGACAGGACGGAATTCACGGGTCAATTGAAACCTCACTAGCTGTTTGCGATATCCCGGCGCCTCGAGCTACGATGCCGATCATGTTGACCGAGCTCGCTTTGAAAGCTAGTCCAGCGCTGTGTCAAAGGAGGTCAGTGCGTACAAGCCCTTTAGAAGGGACATACTGAAATGGAATAGACAGTTATCTATTATTTTCTCGAGTCAGTGGCAGACAGAATTGAAACAATATTTTAATACTGAAAATTCAGGAGTTTGTGTATTTTGAATTTTAAACATGATCATGATGTTTCTACGCAATTGTTAAGATGGAATCGTTGTTGTATCTTTGCATGGTCAAATTGATCCCGCTGGTTTGGGGCTAGAGGTAGTCATGGGTCAAAAAGACTAAATTTTTACCGCGAATCCTCAATGCCTTGACTGTGTTGAGGTAGCCTGTTGTCTTTAGGCTGTGTGCTCCGGCACAATCCGGCCATCAACAAATCACATTTATTTTATACTTCCTTTTGACATGAAATTAATTTTGAAGAACTGCGAAGTTATATATCAATAGGTGAGAGAAGCGATTGCGATTGCTAAAAATATATGAGAGCATTGTGTCCCCTCTCACCACTTATGATGATTTTAAATTATTGTATCTCCTGAGTGAGGTTTTGTTCCCAAAGGCGAATAGTTCGCTGCTTACTCTAAATTACTTACAAAATTTAAATGACAAGAGTGCATGAATTTTACAAAGACTGACAAAGGTGACTGAGATTCTTCCACCATTCTCAGCCCCAGTAGTAATGTTGTTCCGAACTGGTGGTAGGGCAAGTTATATGTATAGAGACGTCTACAAGTGCCCTGAAAAGAGAATTTGAATTCTTTTACCTTTTTACTAATATCTCTTTAGACGTTTATCTGATCCAACTTGAGTAAAAGTCGTTCTCAAAATTACATTTCGAACAGTGTCTTTCCATTCCATTCGCTGTAAGCGTATCTGTCGAACAAACAACAGAAAATTTATATTCTTGGTACTTAGTAAATAAAACCGGTCTTCCAAAATGTCCGATTACAAAAAGATTAAAAGCTGAAGGAGAGCCAAAAGGTGTTGTTACCTCATACTTTAAGGTTGCTTTTATGTGATTAAAAGGATGTCGTTAACTGTGAGCCTTGTGGGAACATTGTCTCGTTAAAATGGTAGCATCGACAAAAATCTGTGATCGTAATGTGTGAATGTAATCTGGTACACACACTGGTCCGAGTCGCGGTTTCCAGCGCTAGCGTCGCCATATTTTTATATGTACTGTTTTACTTACTTAGCTTTGGTAAGGAAACGTAGTCTAGCATGATTGTAGACTTCTTTCCCGTAGGTTATTAATCGCTATGTATAAAGAACCTGTTTGTTTTTTTCTGTAAAATGTCCGATTTGCCGTCACTTATTTTTGTCGAAAAAATGTGCGATTTTTGTCATATGCATGTGCAGTTATTACGTCTAAAAAAAATTTTGATAAGCGTCGTTTGTTGCATGATGTTCTTAAATAAAGTTTTTCTACATTATGTCGATATTTCATTTATATTGAAAAATGATTCTAATTTTTCTAATCGCGCAAAGCTAGGAATAGGTGCTACTGATTATTTACGAACGTTGTTACGATGTTTTATGACATGCATGCACATTATATTTAATCTATACGTAGGTAGATTTGCTATTTTCCTAAATCTGTATGAGTTTTAAAATGATTCATTAGACACATTATATTACAATTAATTGTTATTAATTAACATCGAATAAAATAAGTATCAGATTTTATTATTTACATAAAGTTTAAACATCAACAATAAAAGGCAAGAATATAATATTACTTAATTAGGTACAGATATTGAGATTATAATAATTAGGTTAATGTTAATTAACAACTAACAAGTTAATTTATACCTAAAATTGTTAGTTGATTTATTCCTAAACATTAAACTATTTAGTGTACATATAGTTGAAGTACCTACCTTATTTAACAATCATACGTAAATATCATGACTGAAAGACAATTACCTATTTACATGAAGGTAGCAAGTGTTTTCAGACTACTTACATACCAATACCTTTACAATCGATTAAAATTTACTACAAATTATAAAACTTTTAATACCTATAAAAACCTTCAATAGTAAAATCGTTTTATACAAGTCAACCAAACACATTTTTTAAAATAATTAACAAAACAATGTAAAACAAAAGGCTTTGTAAATGAATGTACCTATGTGTTAATCGAATTTAAGTGAAAATTTCAACTTTTCCAAGAATGGTCCAATTAAAGGTCAAAGTTTATAACTAATTGTTATTACTATTATACAGACTACTGTTTGCGACTTCAGTAGATACTCGTATTTGAAGTAGGTACGACTTACATTGAAAAAAATGTGCGCCGATACAATATAAGTTCTTGTTTTGAGGCTATTGCCTATTATGTAGTTATGCTTTTCATTCCCAAAGCATTGCTGATTTCAGTCTGCATTTTGGGTAACTACGTGACAACATTCTGTTTCGTCTGTCACATAAAAAAAACATGCCATAAGGTGAAGTAGGTACAAGTTATTTCTAATGCTTAAGTAGGTACCTACTAAGAAAATACAGGGTGGCCAAAACAGTGAGGTCTAAAAGAAAAATTTAGACTCCTTACCTCAAGGTGTACCTAAATCACCCCCATGTATATTATACGATTGTGCTTAGTTTAGGAGATAGAGTTAATTTTGTGATATTTTAAAATTTTATGACCTAGTAGGCTTTAAACATTTTTATCTTTTTTTTGGGTTGACTTTTTTCAGATTTCTTTTTTTCGACAGATTTCTTATGAATTGCAGATGTTTGAAAAAAATAATCACCTTCCTATCTTTGATTCAAGATACAAAAGTTTTGCTAGAAACATTAAAATCATGCTTTTATCAAAACGCTATCAAATTTTCAACTTAAAAGTTTAAGTAAAAAAAAGAACTTTCATAGGTCCAAAACCATTTTAAAAACTGCGCCGTTTCCTGAACTTTCATAATAATACAAAAAATCATGTACTTAATAGGCCACTATTTCCTGTAATCGGTACACTAAAGTGGTAAGTCGGAGATTTCGTTACATGTTTTTGACTTTCTTAGAGTGAATTAATATTGGGAATCCTCTAAGTTTACATTACGTAGAACAGATTTAAAGCAGTAACTGGACAGAACATGTTTTTATTCTCAACGAGGAAGCTCTTGCCCTTCATCACACCTGGTGGAAACTGATGATTAGGCTGAAGGTGGAAGGGAACTTCAACTACAGAGGAACTATGGCTTCCTACCTCCAAATGCCGGAATACAGTAATGCTTTTAACATTATTGTTATAGTGACAGACTTAGGAAAATAGAGTTGCTAGCCAGGCAGACTTAGATCAAACCCTACCACCAACCAAACCGAGCAGAAAATTTCACCTCCACTGGGAATCAAACCCGGGACCTCTGAAGCTTACCTCTTACCACTTGAAGACAGAGGCAGTTGTTACATTTTACTATTACCCTTGAAATACCTACTACAGTGAGAAGAAGAAGGAGGGATATTTGGTTTATGGTCATCAAAACTTACTTAAAATAACAATGTGTTCCGGAATTTGGAGGTAGGAAGCCATAGTTCCTTTGTAGTTGAAGTTCCCTTCCACCTTCAGCATAATCATCAGTTTCCACCAGGTGTGATGAAGGGCAAGAGCTTCCTCGTTTAGAATAAAAACATGTTCTGTCCAGTTACTGCTCTAAATCTGTTCTACGTAATGTAAACTTAGAGGATTCCCAATATTGATTCACTCTAAGAAAGTCAAAAACATGTAACGGAATCTCCGACTTACCACTTTAGTGGACCGATTACAGGAAATAGTGGCCTATTAAGTAGATCTTTTTTTGTATTATTATGAATGTTCAGGAAACGGCGCAGTTTTTAAAATGGTTTTGGACCTATGGAAGTTCTTTTTTTTACTTAAACTTTTAAGTTGAAAATTTGATAGTGTTCTGATAAAAGCATAATTTTAATGTTTCTAGCAAAACTTTTGTACCTTGAATCAAAGATAGAAAGGTGATTATTTTTTTCAAACATCTGCAATTCATAACAAATCTGTAGAAAAAAAGAAATCTGAAAAAAGTCAACCCAAAAAAAAGATAAAAATGTTTAAAGCCTACTAGGTCATAAAATTTTAAAAAATCACAAAATTAACTCTATCTCCTAAACTAAGCACAATCGTATAATATACATGGGGGTGATTTAGGTACACCTTGATGTAAAGAATCTAAATTTTTCTTTTAGACCTCACTGTTTTGGCCACCCTGTATATCCTCTGGTCAAATTCACAAAAAATGGCTTCACACAAGGTGATGTACGCAACACAGTGTAAAACAGGAACACTTTTTGAGAAACAAATAAACATAACAGCAATACTGCACATTGCACACCACCAAAATTCATTTTCAGTTTAGGCGGTATTATCGCATCGCTAAGAAGCCATCTCTTCTAGACAACCCGTATGCCTGTAAGCGGAGAATAGTGGTTTGAATAAAAATGGCAAGTCGGTAAAGTAACATATCCATGGATAAAATGGGATACACCCTAGATTTTGACCGGTCATGGCATGGTTGTGTCATCGTGTACCCTTAGCAGCTCTCTAGCATCAAGTCGTTTAGTTCCGCGAGTCCGTGGAAGAAGGCAGGTTCTCGCCGTCCAGCTTGTGGCGCACGTAGGACTCCGGCGCCAGCTGCCAGCCGTCCGGCGGGGCGCCCGCCGCCGCCCACGCGTCCGAAGTGGACACCTCGGCCGGACGCTCGGACACGTCCGATTTGGGCGTGCACTCCAGCGAAAGCGGCTTCGGCGTCTCGATCCTGTAGACAGATCTGCTGTACAGCAAACATACCTATGAAGATTAAAATCAAGGTCTACTGCAAAACATGAATTTGAAGGATTGACAGGCAAAAATACCTAACACGCTCGGGTGAGTGGATAGTGTCGTTCGTGCTCGATATCTCCAAGTCTTCAGCGTAGCTCAAGTGCAACTTGTCACCTCGCTGCTCCTTATCTGAAAAGGGTAAGTTTATTTTATTATCATCATAAATATGTAAGTGGCTTTGCTAGAATATTGTTATGTATTTTCATTTGTTTTTGTTCCTTGGTACTTGTTTTGATGGTATTTCTTTTTTTACATCGTCGTAATCGCTGTAGCATTCTCAGGCCAGTTTCTTCGATGTCCTCGGCGTTATTACTGGAACTTTCTTCATTTATCCTATCTGATAGTGACTACACTTCGGCCCTCAACGTACACGCTATTGGCAGCGTCGGGCCAGTCCAGCAAGTCGCCCTCCAGGTCGACGGGCTCGTCCTTAGCAAAACTGTCTTCACAGTGCCAATGCAGGCTTCACTTACCGTCCACGCTGACGCAGCTCCTAGCAGTCTAGTGGACCTAGATGTTGATCGTTGTGGCAGCCTCAGACCAGTTTCTTCAACATCCTCGCCGTTGTTGCTGGAAGTTTCTTCATGTAACTAATTTGATAGTTTCCTTAATTAGGATACAATTCTCCCGTGGTCGCTCCTCAGCAGAAGTGTATCACAGTGACATGCAGGCTTGACTCACCGTCCACGCTGATGGCGGCGTCGGGCCAGCCCAGCGAGTCGCCCTCCACGTCCACGGGCTCGTCCTCGGCGTCGTAGGCGCGCGACTCCCGCGGCTGCTCCTCAGCAGGACTGTATCACAGTGACAATGGGGCTTGACTCACCGTCCACGCTGATGGCGGCGTCGGGCCAGCCCAGCGAGTCGCCCTCCACGTCCACGGGCTCGTCCTCGGCGTCGTAGGCGCGCGGCTCCCGCGGCCGCTCCTCGCGCCGCTCCTCCTCCAGGTCGTAGCCCAGCATGCTCTCGACGGTGTGGTGCCGCTTGCGCGTGCGCAGCTTCAGCCGCCGCTGACGGTTCGCTCGGATGCGCTGAAATGTCTGAAGCGGCGTATTGTTAATCGATGAGAACCTTAACTTTAATATGTGGTTATGTTACTGATTGCTCTTAATGTCGTAGGTAGATAATAAACAAGTATGTATTATAATTATTATATGTGGTATTAGGGTATCTAGGTTTAGATAACACTGTTTTTGTCTGTTTCGAGAAATGATTATAAGTGGGGACAAAATAGGACCCTGTTACTAAACTATACTATGATTTATTATCTTTAACACAGAACCATTATTCATGAAGATGATGCATTCGGTTAATCGATCGGGATTCGGGAGTCAAATAGAAATTAGACTCATTTAGGCTCCAATAAACCTTAGTTAAATCAAAGTTAATTGTATCCTAATTCAGTAAGTACAAAAATGGTGAGGGTGGTCTTACCTCCCACCGCGCGTCCTCGTCCTGGTGGTGCAACGAGTGCGCGGGCGGCGCAGCAGCGTCGCGGGGCAGCGCGCTCAGGCTGTACAGGTGCTGCAGCTCCTGGAGAAAGTGCGCCTGCGCCACGCCCGGGCCCAGCCGCGCGCCGCACACGCCGCACGACGACTTGCGCTCGCCGTCCGCTGCAAGCGATACTCGTGAACCAGGCTGACCACAGTTGGTGGCGCTTTAAATGGCCAATATATGACAATTTGCTGTTAATTGACGTGTTGAAAGCTGTTCAAGACGGTAATTAAAAATGGGTGAACCAAAACTTTAAATTGCAAAACACAATCGCGTGCTAAACACAAACCAGAAAAAAGTTGAGCGAAGCACAAGGCTCGTCGTCCTTGCCGGGGAGCTGGTAGCATGTTGTGGGGTAGAAGTGACTGTAGTGACGCCTCTGTAGTAATGACTCTAGTTCCTCACCCGAGAAGAAGTCGTGCGAGTCGGTGCAGGTGGGCGGCGCTACGGGCTCGTCGTCCTTGTAGGGCCGCGGCGAGGCGGACGCGGCGGGGCCCGGCGAACTGGTGTCACGGGCTAGTGACTGTAGCCGCTGGTTCCTCACCCGAGAAGAAGTCGTGCGAGTCGGTGCAGGTGGGCGGCGCGGCGGGCTCGTCGTCCTTGCAGGGCCGCGGCGAGGCGGACGCGGCGAGGCCGGGCGAGCTGGTGTCGCGGGTTAGTGACTGTAGCCGCTGGTTACTGACCCGAGAAGAAGTCGTGCGAGTCGGTGCAGGTGGGCGGCGCTACGGGCTCGTCGTCCTTGCAGGGCCGCGGCGAGGCGGACGCGGCGGAGCCCGGCGAGCTGGTGTCACGGGCTAGTGACTGTAGCCGCTGGTTCCTCACCCGAGAAGAAGTCGTGCGAGTCGGTGCAAGTGGGCGGCGCGGCGGGCTCGTCGTCCTTGCAGGGCCGCGGCGAGGCGGACGCGGCCGAGCCGGGCGAGCTGGTGTCGTCGCGCGCGGCGTACGCGTGCCGGTACAGCGGCGGCGTGCTGCTCTCGTCGCGGACGCTCTGTGACCACCACATTTTCATTCTGGACTAGATATTTGTATGGAAATAGTTTGCGAGTGATGTGTGAATTACTAATTTCGCAAAAAATGTTTCGATATTAATGGCAATGTTGAACAGCACAGTAACGAGTCAAGATTTCTAATCGTATTAATTTCTGTACATTGTATAGGTACAGACATTGCCGCATATGTTATGAAACGGACAGCCAAAAGCCTGTCCAATCACGACATGTTCACGTTCTGTTCCCTAACGAGCAAGCAAGGCCCACGCCCAGCAATGCCTGGACGGAACAATCCAATCCTAGCGAGTCGCCTTTGCTTTTCAAAGCAAAGACATGTCAACGCAACGGTATTGGGGTGCCGTCGAACGTCAGTGGGAAATTGAAATCCGTGATTGAATTTACTACATTCAAACTATCGAGAGCTCGTTGCATAGGTACACGCCATAAAGGTACACTGCTGGCGCAATGTTGACCAAGTATTTTCAAATGATGTCGATGAAATTTTGTTATCCCGATCAAATCTTCTTTTTACTCGAGGATATCCTCGATCGAAGCGAAGCTGTCACGATCTCGAATCGATATCGAATTGAAGATGTCTACAGGGACAACGTTTGTGTGTAGTAGCACAAATATATAACATTCAGATACAGGTATAGATAGTAACACAAATATAATATACGAGTGTAGAGTCATTTGTATTTACTATAGTGTCGTATGAATGTTATAAAGTTACAATCACTTTCATCCATTTGCTCGCAAGAGTGACTCAACCCTCGCCCGGTCCTCGATTAATATTAAAATCTCCCAACGCCACATCGCTTGCATCATTGCATCATCGCTTAATATCCAGTGCTAGGGCGACTCTCCCCTTTCATCCGATATTAGCGGTGCTCGATAAAATATTAATCGAAAAATGTAGGTATTACGAAAAACAAAACTATTCGTTAAATACGTAATCTTACATGACAATTTTAAATTTTTTTCAGTGCAATTTTCAAAATGTTTGTGAAGATGCACAAAAATTGCTCAAGTGCGAGACAAATATTTTTTTACAATACATAGTTTAACTTTAACTGTGTTTAAGTTATTTTGTTCCGAGTTTAAAAGTTATGTTTTAAGGTTCTGTTGCGATACATTTTAGATGAATGCGATACTCTTCAACGAAGCTTTCATATCTACATTATGTGCGCTGTCTTTGCAAATAAAGTTCAAAAACATAAAACGCGTATGAAAGTCATATCAATTTGAAAAGAATACCAACTTTCCAATGATATTTGTTCAAATATTATGACAAACATCTCAAAAAATGTCTGTAACCGATGAAACAAAAACTTTATTCACCAATCGCGCTGGTCTCATCTTTTCTGGATTCTATTATAGCTCTTATACTCTTTTTACGTACCCTGAGCGCTTGTCCAACGCTTTGGCCAAGGGCGTACTGCTCCCCCAAATGGCGGGCAAAGGCTTTCCCAGGGTACAGGGGGTGGAAGGCGCCCCCTATCGGTCGGAAGGCGCCGCAGCCGAAGCTCTGCAGGGCTGGGTGCAGGAACTGCGGCGCCATGTGGTGCAGGAACCCTTCCATGGCTGTTGCTCTATAACACGTGTATAAGGTTAGTACCTGAAATTGTTATTTTGTACTCGCAAGCAAAGTATCGGCAACGGGTATACCTAATTACTATTTATATAGGGTGTCCCAAAAAGTAATGTCAAGCCGAAGCCCAGAGGTATCACTAGGGATTCCTCTGGGCTTCGGCTTGCCACTACTTTTTGGGACAACCCGTATAAAAAGTAGGTACCACATTATTGAATAGGGTTGTTTAATTAAGTTCTATAAACTTTGCGTCTTTCAGATTTGAAATAATTTCATAACGAGTGCACTTAAAATTTCATTAATTACATAAAACGTGCCATAAATAACTTATTTATTTCCGATATAAGTAACTAAAGATATTTTGTGCCTAGTTACATAAAATAAACAATAGGTAACCTACAAAAAGATTTTCATTAAAATCTAATCGTTATCCTTTCGTTTTTTTAAAACATGCTCACGGAAAGAGATATCCAAACTGACCGTGTGTAAACAAACGAAGATCTGAATTACTGCCACTAAACACGTATGAAACCGCACAAGAATAGCTGTAAAATGTGTTTATTTGGAGAGCAATCGTAGATGGCGCACAATACTCGCGGGCGGCACCTAGCAGCAACAATAAACAACACCAGATGACTGCGGCCGGTCTTAGGTGGCCTCTGGACTCGAAGTTACTCTTTCGTAGCTTCCTACCCGATACGAGTACGATACACAAATCACAAAAGTTCCTACGAGTTGGCTGCATAATTAATAGAATAAAAAATGCGTTTGCGCGGCCTTTTGTTTAATTTTTAAGTGTATTTTATCTGATCATTTCGCACCTAAGCAGTTACCTACCTATCTGTCTAACGCCCGTATTCACAAACATTACTATGAGGTCTCTCTCACAGTGCGCGTGGACGCACATGGTCACGCACGAACCAATCACAGAGCTCTATTTAACGCCGTGCGTTCGGTTTGCTGATTCACTTAAGCAAGCATCGTTTGTGAATACGAGTGTAAAAAAAAAAACTGAGGTAGAGAGCGGCACGGGAGGGGTGACATATTGACATAGGACGTAACATAGCATACAAATCTGAAAGAAATCTGAAGTCTTGTAACTCGATAAGGCACTGGCTGAGTTAAGCACTAGATCTATAATAGTTCATGTTAATAGGTATACGATATAATAGCATTTCGATGGCCTTTTGTTTGTATTATCAGGCCTGTTCATCTCCGCGAGTTTACATCGAAAACAAAACACGCACGATGGCCCACCTACAGGATACTATTCGACAAGGCCTCAGCGAACTTTGACTCACGCACGCGTATTCTTGTGTATGATGGAAAAAAATAAAGAAAATGGTGTACTAAATACTGTGCAGTATTTAACTGCCTAAATAATAATAAAAACACAGAATGTACTTTTTTAAGTTGCCTGAAGATACTGAGAGGTAAATAAGTAAGTAGTTAATATTATTCATGATAATTCATGCTAAATCATGTATTTCCTTCGCCATTTTCTGCAGTTTAGCACCTCACATCACATCCTTTTACCGAAGTCAGCCCTATAGTTTCGGCGCAGTACCGATCACTGACGTTTTTCAACAAAATGGTTCTTGACTCTTGAGACAAACTAAATTACACCATATTGTTAATGACATTGAGCATACATTTTTTAAAATACCATCGCGAAGTAAAACTTCTGTACGTAGTACCTGTGGTAGTACTTATTATTATTCTGTGGTATTATTAAAAAGCATTGACTCCCTTAATATTTTTAAAAGGAAACTTGCCCTACACTTTCAAAGTCGTTGTAGAATGAGCCTTACTTATTAAAAAGGTCTAAAAGTAATACCTACCTATGTATAATTTAAGAAATTGTGTTTGTTTTGAAACTTATGTTTATTTTTTATTGTCAATCAGATGGTATAATTTACTAAAGCCAAAATGCTTTTTATAAAACATATCGGTGCGAACGATTCAAATGTAAATAATATTTCGTAGTGAAGTTTGAGATCGGTGGCGTATCCAATAATATATCTGTTTTGGCGCCAGCAATTGGTTCGCCATCCCGTAATTCGAGATCCATTTTAGTTAGCGTTCAAACCAGCTACCAAATTAAATTAAAATCGCAAAATTGGTTGTGCTAAACGTCAGGTATAGCCTTAGAGAATTATGGGTATAGCAGACATCGGCGCTGCGGCCGCGAGAGCCAATTAGAGTCGGCCAGCAATCGCATTTACGTAATTACCGCTGATATGCCGAGCCTCCAATCACAGATACCGCACCGATGGCCCTTTGCAGAACTGTTTGTGTCCACCACAATTTACTGCTAAGCCGGAATCACGAGTAAATGTCAAACGTAATTATAGGCCAGTCGAATTAGATTTTAAATCGGAAATAATTCCTACAAAAGATTTTATTGCTTTATTGGCTTCATTGGTTGCCCATTAAGACTCTCCTAGGTTTTCGACTTCGACGGAGTTGTGCTTAAGTAGTGGGGGCCCCCGAAAGGGGCGCTTTTTAGGTTTACCCTCCTGTACGATTGCATTGGTGCCTGGCATGCCTGGTCTAAGGTTCGAAGCCAGAAAATCAACTTTGTATGCGTGAAAATAGTTTAAACACTATTTTCCGTGCTTGCAACATTTTTCTTTACTGCTTCGCCTCTATTAGTCGTAGAGTAATTGTATATATCCTATAGCCTTCCTCAATTTATGAGCTATTCAACATAAAAATAATTATTTCAATCAAACTAGTAATTCTTGAAATTAGCGCGTTCAAACAAACAAACAAAAAACTCTTCAGCGTTTTAATATGAATTTGTTGTTGTTAATTTTTGGCGTCGAACTTAGACCAGGCATACGGCGAGGCAACGTAGTCATGCAGGAGGATACAAGGAAGAGTGGCAGCCACAGGAGGTAACACAGAGTCGTTCAGGAGAGTGCCAGGAAGAGGTGCAGCAACCGCAGTTAAGACACGGCTGGGACGAACAAGGATAGACGCATCCAGCTCGTAAGCCTTGATAAGGTTACACTGGTTGAGGCGCTCCTTTGCAAGACTTGGAAGCCTGCGGGTAACGAGCCATTGGACGTGGAGAGGGTAATTATACACATATTTTCTACTTTGCCAAACATTTGCACGAGAACGGTTTGTTCAAAACATATGAATTTGGTCTTATTTAATGCAGGATTAAATGCCCTTCAACCGTCAGGAAGACCACTTTTCGATAGGGCAAGTCCTTTACGCGGTATAACCGGAAAACCGAAAAAGCGCCCCTTTTGGGGACTCCCACCACTTAAGCACAACTCCGTCGAAGTCGAAAACCTAGGAGAGTCTTTTTGGGCAACTAATGAATCCATTAAAGCACTAAAATCTTTAGTAGGAATTATTTCCGATTTAATTCATTTTTATGTTTAATTCTACTGGCCTATAAAGCCGAAATGCTAAAATGTAGGTATTTTTATTAGAATTTACTGAAAACTAATATTTTTTGGAGTAATTGACTGACACCATAATATTGAATCTGAATTGAATCCAATAACATTTTCCCATAGAGTCAAATGATCAAATCCTCTTAACCTTATGGCAAAAATGGCAAAAAAATAAACCTCCAGAAATATAAAATCTGTTTTGCATGGTTAGGATGAAGAGCTTTTAAAGATGAGTTTTGGAAATAATATTTCCTGAGTAGGTACATTTTTTAGTTATTTATTTACTATTGTTAGCTGTATGTATGTAGTACGCTCGCAAAGTACAAAATACAGTTAATTCAAATGTTGTCAGCTAGACGCGTACAAAAGACGCGTACTTACAAACGTTATAAACGGTAAACTGAACGGCCGCACAAACGTCCGCTTTACATTTCGTACAAGTGTCGCCGGCCGGCGCCCTAGCGTCTGCCCCGTCGCACACAGGTGAAATTTACGTTATTTGTGGCCAAAATTAAAAAAAGCAAAGTTACTCCGATTCTAAATTAGTAACCTAATATAGGAACAAGACATATGGAGCCATCTATAAATGATATTTAAAAAGTTTAACACTTTTTATCCAGATACCCACAACATTTGATTTAAACAGTTTTTCTTGTTGAGTAATTTATTATAATTTTAGCTCTTGTTTAACAACAACGTTTAACTTTTATTTAGTTAATATTTGGTAAAAAACATATGGATTCTATACTTCCAGGTTAGTTTATTATTTCTGTATTACTAAACAGTCTACATTACTTACTATGTTATAGATATATAGGTTTGAATAGAAGTCTATATTTTAACAGTTTATTTTTTTGAAACGGTGAAAAAGTTCATGATCAAGCGCGATCAACCCGTTTCTTTTACATATTTCGAAAGAACATATCTATGGCTTTCATATGACACCAAAATTAGCTGCGTCAAACTGCGTCACCTAAACAAAATATTGCAAAACTGTCAATTTTTATGAATTTTAAAAATACTCATAATATGTTTTCAGGTAGTTCCCAGAATAGCATTCCATTAGTATTCCCTATCCTTAAGATGTAATAAAACTTTTAAAAGAACCAAAAATAACTTCTGCATCGTAATTGTATTTTTTAAAATTTATCAAATTTTTAACAAATTATTAGTAAGACTAAATACATCAATGAAAACATTTGTTACTTTTTCTTTTTAAATCACCTTTAAACTATTATTTTAGACAGACTATAGCAATATATAGGCATAAACACGCATAACGTAATTTTGGCCAACTTTTGAGGAAATTTCACCTGTGTGCGTCGCCAATTAGTTGGCGCAGCATAATGGGTCAAGTGCGCTTGTCGTAATCAATCGGGAAGTAAACAAAGCTCCTTTGTGCCTGCGTCTGTCAAACAACACCGCCACATCACAGCCTGATTCAGGCTGTTTCAACTCGACGTGCCTGTCCCACGGATGAGTGAGCTCATCCAAATCGAGAATAATAGGGATTACAGCTTATTAGTTCACATGCGTCGACTTCAAAAGGACTGCACCGAGTTTTGATTATAGGTGCTCATTAGAACTT